AAAAAACCGAAGAAGGTCTAAGATTCATGTTGGACAACATGAAGAAGAATAACTTAAGAATTATCGGCATTATGGAAAAGGAAGAATCACACAAGTCCACAGAGGAGAAAGTTGAAGAGCTGCTAGAAGAACATTTCCCTAACATCCTGAAAAGTGAAAAGATATGCATTCAAGAAGCTCAATGAACCCCAGGAAGGACAGACCCTTAAAGGAAATCACCAAGACATATAATAATCAAGCTCTCCAAAATCAAAGATAAGGACAGAATCTTGAAAGCACCTAGGGAAAAGAGAAATGTAACATACAAAGGCAAGCAAATCAGATTAAGCTCGGAACTCTCAACAGAAACCATGCAGGCAAAAAGGCAATGGGGAGATATATACAAATCTCTGAAAGAAAACAACTGCAACCCAAGAATCCTCTACCCAGTAAAGCTGTCAATCAAATACGATGCTGTAATTAAAGCATTCCAGGATAAACAGAAGCTAAGGGATTTTGCCAAAGCCAACCCTGCAATGAAAAACATCCTAAACTGAGTTCTGTGGACTGAGAACCAACAAGAACAGACAACAACCAGAGATTGATGTACATGGCAGCATCACCTGGAACTCAATCGACAAATGAAGAGTCAAGAACAGAATAAAACTATCAGAACAAATTCAGAGGATCTGGGAGGTCAGTCTATGATCAAAACAATTACAATGTGAAAGAAGGTAAACACAGAGGAACAGAGATCCAGGTGGTTAGAAGGTCAGGTAGATTACAGGAAAAATAGACTGCCTCAAATGGAGGGAAAAAGTTAATGGAATATAAGATAACCACAATGGTGAAGTTGAGGTAGGGGTTTAGGGGGCAGTGGAGGGAGGTGACGGTAGAGCACAGGGTAGGGGGCAGACACATCATAATCCAGGTGTTGGGGAAGGCAATAAATGAAGGGGGAGGAGATGGAAGAACAAGATAGATAGGAGAACACTGAGACAGGTTTGCATGCAGAGGTAAACAGAGATGCATGCTCAGCCTTGGAACAACAGGGCTCTGGGATACAGGGATCTAGGCATAGTTTGAATAAGGGAAATAATAATAAGATGCTTGACTGTCTTATGATATTGGTTTCCCTTGCCTACTATTGTAAAATAGACACTTGAGTGGGATAGAAAGGAATGTTGGGAAACAGGATTACAGAAAATGTATAAGTCCGTCTCCAGCCTATAACTGAATGGAATACCTAAAAGGGGTTCTAGAACTTGCCCAGTGAAATAGCCCTCTTATGGAGCCTTTGCAGAGTATAGGACCTTATTGGGTGGAATCCTGAGTCCAATTCAGAACCTTCTGAGGTGGGACATTCCCACTAGAAAGGACAAACAGACCAGCGTGGAACAGTTAGAGTGACAGAAGATACATCTTCAAAGAAAGATCATCAGGTCAGGAAAACCCCAAAACAAAAATGTCAGCATGACTGGCTACTACAGCAATAAGCAAGCAATCAAGTTCCTTCAGGACAAACTTCCCTCTAAGACTGAAACTCAAATGGAACATATGAGCAGGCATATAAGCTTGCTGACAACCACACTGGTCTACTGGTGACTGGAAGAGGGGGAAAGGCAGCAATGAAGAAATGGGCTGAGTTTAACCACAGTCCATAGACTCCTGTTGGCCTGAAGATGAAAGAGAGAAGAGGAAGGGCTGGTTGGTCCAGAGTGTGGTGAGACCTGGGGACTCTTGAGCCCATGGACAAGGACATAGCCACAGAGGGCTAGACCTGAGAGTGAAGCATCCAGCTGATATGAAGTGAGAGGAGATGCACAAGAACACCCAAACTTGCAGATAGTACCCATTTGACCTAGCCTTGATGGCTTGATAATCAGAACACAACTAGAGGAAGATAAAAACAAACAAACAAACAAACAAAAAAACTACAACAATTTTTGATGAAGGAAATGAGGGTAAATTGCTACAATTTGATGAACCTGACCTATACTCATGGAGGTAGTAACTCTAAGTCCCAACAGAGAGAGAGTAAGTCTTCACATCAAATATCAAGGTAGGTAGGGATGGGCAACTTAGACAATGGCTATCTACAATGAGGGGCCAATAAAGGCATGAAGTGACTGGCTTACAAGGTTTCAAGGGGGAGATTAGTTTAATAGTGTGTGGGGAAAGAAAGAGTCCCCGCTGAATAGTTTTCACCTTGTCTAAATAGGTCTGGTTAAAAGAGATAGGGATAAGATTCTTATGACTCAACAGTGAGTAATTGTTATCATGACTAATTGCGACTGTCACAATTGTAAAGGTAGAAGTTTTGTAAGAAAAATGGGGGTATAGTTAATCTTACAATCCAGAAACAAAGGACCCTAGGATCATCAATGGAGAAGAGCACAAGTGGAATGCGAGACCGCAACAACACCAGAGATGGAGGCAGAGATGGGGACATGGAGAGAGGGAGCAACTGAGGACTCTAGATTCATGGGAAGAGAGGGACTAAGAGGTGGCAGCCAGGAGGCTGACTTGCAGAATGTGCCCTTTGGTGGTATAAATTATTGTATATCCCAGAGTGTTTAAAAAAAAAAAAGGAGCTAAAGTGAATAGAAACACTGTTAACTGATAGTACATGGCGGGGATTATAATCATTGTAATTAAACAAGGTATATGATTTGTTGTATATAAAACTGATGATCTGCTCTGTAAACTTTTACAATACACAATAAAAAACTTAAAAAAAAACAAAGAGGAATTCTGGGTGTCAGACTCTGCTAGTTTACCCCTTCTGTTCCCACAAATAACCAGAAGCATTTGTTTAGCTTCCAGGCTTACTTGTTGAGTAGAGAAGTTAAGAAGACCAAATCCTACCTCACACAGGTAGGAAGATATCAATTTGCATTTGCATTTTCCTTGCTAATTTTTGGCTGTCTCATAAAACATCTCTCTACCAGGACCAGATACAAAGTGGGGAACATGCCAATTCTCTGATGCTCCCCAAGGAAGACCCAGAGAAAAGATCAAGGACTAATGTACAAGTTACCCCCTACTGTAAGGCCCTTTCTCTACCATCTTAATTTGGGATGGGGTGGTTGAAAGAGGATTAGAGGGCACTCACTAGACAGCCAATGCCTTGCCCCTTTTTCCCCTTTCAGTAGCCCTAGCAGTATTTTTTTCCATGTGGGTTCTTTCTATGCCCTCAGGCTGCACAATGCACTCACCAGGGGGCGGGGAATGGGTTTCTGTGGTTTCTTTGAGCCCAACTTCTTCATGGCATTGTAGTACTTCTTCTGTTCTTCAGTCATGAAGATGTCCTGACCTCCAAAGTAAAGGGGGAAAAGAGAGCAAGCAATTACAACCGGCTTTCACTTATAACGGGTTTGGATCTAAGGACTGGTACTGACGACCTAGCCCTTTTTTTCTTCTCAGAGGTCCGTTTAACGGCCCCAGGGTGAAGGAGATCTTCATTTTTGGGTTCTGAGCTCTGCCCGTCACTGGGTGCAAAGCAGCTGGGCTACTCAGTCACAGGGTAGAGTCTGGGTGGTGCAGCCGTTATGTGCTTGGCTGCTAATCAGAGGTTGGTGGTTTGAACCTATGACCTGCTCTGTAGAAGAAAGATGAAGCAGTCGGTTCTGTAAAGCTTTTCAGCCTTGGAAACCCTGTGCGGCAGTTGTCCGCTGTCCTATATGGTTGTTATGAGTCAGAATCAACTTAATGACAATGAATTTGATTTTTGGTTTTGGTCAGGGAAGGGTAAGCTTGAGCAATAACTGTGAAGACAGTTCCATCTCACAGTATAATAAAATTTGGGGGACCTACTTTCCTGATAAAAGTCTGGAAACATGATAAATAAATTATATCCTGGCTTTACTGTTGTTAACTTCCTTCCAGTCAGTTCCGACTCATTGACTTTCTGAGGCTGTAAATCTTTGTGGGAGCAGAAAGCCTCATCTTTCTCCCAAGAAGTAGTTGGTAGGCTCAAACCTTTGACCTTGTGGTTTGAAGTCCAGGGCTTATCCTACAGAGCCATTGTGTTCCCTTCATCCTGGCTAGTGGTCCACAGATTTCAGATGATATTAAAAATTGAGAATTTCTGGTGCAAGAAAGCATTTTGGGGGGTTTCTTAGAGTTTGTTGGGACAGGTTTAAAAAATGAATGATAAGAGTAATTTTAAAAATTTGCCTTGGAAAAAGTGTTTACCATTTGGCACATGTAGGGAAGCGAGCTCTCTAAGAATGACCTCTTCAATCCCAATTTGCTACTGATGCCCAGGGGTTAACATGGATACAGTTCAGACAATTTCTGCTGACCGCTACTGCTATGGCTCTGCTATTTTCTTTTTACTCCTGCCTCTAGAGCCACTTGAACAAAAGATAGCTAGTAAATGGGACCAACCATCTACTGCAAAGGCAGTTCTGGTGTGTGCTGCAGGATAAGCACTGGACTGCTAACCACAAGGTCGGCAGTTCAAACTGACCCACTGTGAGTCAGAACTGACTTGATGGCAGTTAACAACAACAACAACCAAACACTGCAAAATACAACCCTCAACAGAAAGTGGTTCATATGCAGTGGGGCTAATGCCACGCTGAGGCAATATGGATTTCAGAGAAAGAGAGGGGCATTCTCTCATTAGAGATAGGAACAGAAGTGCTTTTCATCTGGGTTGACCTCTGACCACTGGTAGGGAGGGGAGGAGACCTATCTTTTTCTTTTGTTGATTGAAGTTATCAATGATGACACCAATGAACAGGTTCAGGGTGAAGAAGGAGCCGAAGATGATGAAGATGACAAAGTAGATGTACATGTAGATGTTGTCCTCATACTTGGGCTGCTCTTCAGGCTGTCAGAGGGCAGGAGAGAAAGGAATCCAGTCAGCTCCTAGCGTGGGGATCATGTGGGTGATTCCAGCATGCCAAGGCCACCAGTCACAACTAGGACCACTTAAGCTAGGGGGATGGGAGGCGCCAGCAAGCTGGTGGGGGAGCCTGAGCTTCTCTCTCTGCCTGTCTCCCTGCTGAGTAGATACTACCCCTGCCATGACTACTGTGGAAAATAGGCAAGTCATCAGTAAGGGGGAGAGGAGGCTGTCTGCTGGGAAGCACACTGTTATTTCAAAGAGAACTGAAGAGCAGATGGCTCCACTGGGGCCAGGTAAAAATCAACAGTCTAATCATCTAGAACCAGCGTAAGAGTGGGGATTGCTGACAGGAGGAAAATGATCTAAAATCAATGAAGTAAGCAATGAGGTTCCAAAAAAAAGCGACAGTTTCTCTCTCCCTCCCTCCCTTCGTGTTGAGGAAACTCACCCTGCCTTTTGCTTTCTAACCAGCAAGGAAGAGTGTGGCTTCCCCATGCACATCCTTACCTTCCGGGAATCTACAGCTGCATACATGATGTCCATCCAGCCTTTAAAGGTTGCCTGACAAACAGAGTCCATCATTAGACTGTGCCTGTTGGGGGTAGGGGGTGGGATCTAGGCAGGGTCCCCAGAGGCCAGGTTTAGGTTCAGGGAAAACACAAGGCAGAGAGTTTGGCTGTAGCATCAGGAAGACATCAGATTTCCTGTTTGCTAATACAGGTCTCCAGGAGGCTTCCTCTAAGGCTCTGAAAATAACCTCACAGTCTGGTAAAAAAGCATGTTGAAAACTAAACCATTGGATCAATACTTTTACAAAAAACCTTCAAAATAGGTCTAATAAGGTTGCCCAAAATTAGGGAAACATAGGTGTTTAGAATTTAGCACTGAGAGACCATTACAAAAAAATGATGTTGAATAAGAAGTGGAGGTCTGAAAATGTCATAGCTACATTGTTTTACACAAACTAAAACCTGGGTCCGAAGTCTGCCCTGGTGGCATAATGGGTTACATATTTGGCTTCTAATCACAATGTCAGTAGTTTAAATCCACCAGCCACTCTGCTGAAAAAGTTAAGGCTTTCTGTTCCCATAAATATTTACACCCTCAGAAACCCCATATAGTGGTATGAGTCAGAACTGACTTAACAGCACACAGCAATATGCACATGTATAGTGATGATATGTCTAAAGTAGGAGAGACACAAAGTCACTCCATCCTTGCATCTAAGAAGCAGTCTAACTATATTTCTTCCAATACAGATTTATTTGTTCTTCAGATAGTCCATGGTACTTTCAATATTCTTCTCCACTACCATAACTCAAATGCATCAATTCTTCTCTGGTCTTCCTTACTCATTGATCAACTTTCACATGCATATGAGGCTACTGAAAATACCATGGCTTGGGTCAGATGCATCTTAATCTTCAAACTGACACCTTTGCTCTTGAACACATAAAAGAGGTCTTGCACAGCAAATCTGCCTAGTTCAACACATCACTTGATTTCTTGACTGCTGCTTCCATGAGATTGACTGTGGATCTAAGCAAAATGAAGCCTTTGACTTCAACCTTTTCTCCATTTATCATGATTTTATTTATTAGTACAGTGATGAGGATTTTTGTTTTCTTTACATTGAGGTGCAACTCATACTGAAGACTGTGGTCTTACATCTTCATCAATAAATCTTTTAAGTCCTCTTTGCTTTCAGCAAGCAAAGTTGTATTATCTGCATATTGCAGGTTGTTAATGAATCTTCCTCCAGTACTGATGCCATGTTCTTCTTCATATAATCCAACGTCTCCAATTATTTGCTCAGCATAGAGATTGAATAAGTATGGTGAAAAAATGGAAACCTGGCAAACACCTTTTCTTGATGTTAGACCATTTATCCCCTTGTTCTGTTTGAAGGACTATCTCTTGGTCTATGCACAGGTTCTTCATGAGCATGACTAAGTGTTCTGGAATGCCCATTCTTCATAATCCACACAATTGAAAGCTGTTGCACAGTCAATAAAATACAAGTAAACATCAGTAAAGCACAAGTAAACATCTTTCTGGTTTGCTCTGTTTTGAGCTAATATCCATCTGATGTCAGTAATGATATCCCTAGGTCCATGTCCTATTCTGAATCCAGTTTGAGTTTCTGGCAGTTTCCCATCAATGTACTGTTGCAGTCATTTTTGAATTTTGAATTATGTTCAGCAAAATTTTACTTGCATGTGATAATGATGTTGTTCGATGATTTCCACAAGTTTGATGAATGTTTCAAGTCGAGGGTTGAATTTTTTTCTTCAGTTCTTTCAGCTTGAGAAATGCTGAGTGTTTTTCCCTTTTGGTTTTCTAACTCCGGGACTTTGTACATTTCGTTATAATACTTGACTTTGTCCTTTTGAGCTGCTCTTTGAAATTTTCTGTTTAGTTCTTTTACGTCCTCATTTCTTCCAGTCAATTTAGCTTTTCTAAGCTTGACAGCAAGTTTCAGAGTCTCTTCTGACATATTTTGGTTTTTTCTTTCTTTCCTACATTTTTAGTGATCTTTTGCTTTCTTCCTATTTGATGTTCTTGATGTTTATCCTATCACTCTTGTGGTCTTTTATCATTAGTGTCTAATGCATCAAATCTACTCTTGAGATGGTCTCTAAATTTAGGTGGGATATATTCAAGGTCACATTTTGGCTCTTGTGAGCTTGTTTTCATTGTCTTCAACTTAGCCTGAACTTGCATATGAGCAATTAATGGTCTGTTCCACAGTCAGCCCCTGGCCTTGTTTTGGCTGATGATATTGAGCTTTTCCACCGTCTCTTCCTGCTGATGTAGCCAGTTTGATTCTTGTGTATTTCATTTGGTGAGGTCCATGTGTATAATCATCTTTTATGTTGTTTAAAAACAGTATTTGCAATGAGTAAGTCATTGTTGTTGTTGTTGTTGTTAAGTGCCATCGAGTCGGGTCCGACCATTGGCCTTGTAAAATTCTATCATGCAATCTACAGCAGCACGTCTATCACCAAGGTCATATTTTCCAATTACTGATCCTTTCTGTTTCCAACCTTTGTATTCTAATCACCAGTACATTTTGATTGCATGTTTGATCAATTTCAAATTGATGAATTTGGTAGAATTTTTCATTCTGGTGTAGTAAACCATATGATTGTTAAACTCAAAATAGACAGTACTAGTCCATTTCAGCTTAGTAATTTCTTGGATATCGATCTTAATTTGTTCTATTTCATTTTTGACAACTTTCAACTTTCCTAGATTCATATTTCATATGAATTATTGACGGATGTTTGCAGCTATTTTTACTCATTTTGAGCTATGCCCCCAGCAAATGAAGGTCCCGAAAGCTTTACTCCATTTGCATCATCAAGATCAACTCTACTTTGAGGAGGCAGCTCTTTCCCAGTCACATTTTGTGTGCCTTTCCAACCTGAGGAGCTCATCATCTGGCATCTTAATTGACAATGTTCCGGTGCTATTCATAATATTTTCATCTTCTGGCACTATATCTGACAGTGTTTCACAGCTATTCATAAGGTTTTCGGTGAGTAAACATTCAGAAGTAGTCTGCCTCGCCTTCTTCCTAGTGTCTTCATCTGGAAGCTCCACCGAAACCTGTCCACCATGGGTGACCCTGCTGGTATTTAAAACACTGGTGGCATAGTTTCCGGCACCACAGCATGACAAACTGACAGAGGAGTGGTGTTGCATTTCAGTTTTATGTACTTTAGAGTCTAAGCTTCTTTATGGTATCATCAGTTCTTTATTCAGTTAGTGGCTCCAGCAATGCTAAACACAGCACCTTGTACACAGCAGAGACTCTTGGAGCACAGTGTTTGACTGGCTGGCTGAGTGTATTGGCCTCGTGGAATTGCTCAAGTTCAGATTCAATTTGGATTCAATTCAGTCCATTTTCTTGAACAGGGTTGGGACAACAAAAACCTTTGGAGTGAGTGGAACCTCTGACCACTCCATTAACTTTTCCTTCTACTACTATCTAATAAGGAGCTCTAGTAGCATAGTGGTTATGAGTCAGGCTGCTAAACTCAAGCTCAGCAGTTCAAAACTACCAGCCATTCCACCAGATAAAGATGAGGTTTTCTGCTCCTGTAAAAATTTACAGCCTCAGAAACCCTATGCAGGGTCACTGTGAGTCGAAACTGACTCCACAGCAGACCACCACCACCACTATGTAATAGTAAATGCTTCGCATGTATAAAATTAGGTTGGGAGCTTCACCTGAAACGCTACATTTAATTCTCCCAACAGCTGTATGATATAGGCACATAGTAACAGTTAACACTGATTGGGTAGTTATGTGCTAAGCTCTGGGTGGTCACAATGGTTAACATATTCTGCTGCTAGCTGAAAAGCTGGAGGTTCGAATCCACCTAGAGGTCCTCCAAAGAGCAGTCTGGTGATCTACTTCTGCAGTTGTCAGCCGCTGATCAGAGCCCAGCTCTACTTGGACACACATGGGGTCACCATGAGTCAAAATCAACTTGATAGCAACTGGTTCTGGTTATGTGCTAGGCACTGTGCTAAGAACTTGTAACAAGTTATCACGAATATGCTCAACTATGCAATGTAAGTATTATTACCCAGATTTAATAGATGAAGAAACAAAGATTCACAGAAGGTCAGCAAGCTTTCCAAAGTTAACAAAGCTAATTAATACTGGAGCCTGGTTCAAACTTATGCCTGTCTGATTCCAAAGCCTATGTGCTAGCATTGTATCATACTGTCTGGTATGATACATGATGTAAGGAAATGCTAGACTCGATAGGATGAAGTCAGGTAAGAAAAGAATTAAATCCTTTCTTAAAGACTTTCATCTGGGGTTGAGCAGCCATGAGTGGCAGCAGCATGGCACTGCTATATTACTTTCTGAGTTAACTTTGTGTTATAGTTGTTGTTAGGCGTTTATGAATAGTAACCTGTGTACAAAAGAACGGAACACTGCCTGGTCCTCTGCCATGCTCACAAGAATTCCTATGTTTGAGCCCATTGTTACAGCCACTGTGTCAAGCCATCTCATTGAGGGTCTTCCTCTTTTTTTGCTGACCCTCATCATCCTTGCTTCTAAGGAACATTCTTACAAGACAGATTTGTTTGTACTTCTATGCAGTATTCTTCATCAAACACGGTATTTCAAAGGCATCAGTTCTTCAGTCTTCCTTGTTCATTGTCCAGATTCTGTTTCACATTCATGAGGTGATTGAAAATACCCTGGTCAGAAGCACCTTAGTCATCAAAGTGACATCTTTGCTTTTGGATACTTTAAAAGAGATCTTTTGCAGCAGATTTGTCCAATGCAATACAAAATTTGATTTCTTGACTTGTTTCCATGAGCTTTAATCGAGACTCAGAGTAAAACAAATCCCTTGACAACGTCGTATTTTCTGTTTATCATGAAATGTGCCTATTGTTTTGGCTGTGAGCATTTTTTGTTTTGTGTTGAGATGCAATCCATATCAAAGGCCAGAGTTTGATCTTCGTCAGTAAATGCTTCAAGTCCTCTTCTCTTTCAGCAAGCAAGGTTGTGTCATCTGCATATCACAGGCTGTTAATGAGTCTTCCTCCAATCCTGATGCCATGGTTTTCATGTAGTTTCATGAATTATTTGTTAGCATACAGACTAAGTGTAGTGAAAGGATACAACCCTAACACACACCTTTCCAGATTTTAAACCATGCAGTATCCCCTTGTTCTATGTCTCTTGGTCTATGTATAGGTTCTTCATGAGCACAATGAAGTGTTCTGGAATACCCATTCTTTGCAATGTTATCCATAGTTTGCTGTGATTCACAGTCAAATGCTTTTGCATAGCCAATAAAACACAGGGCAACATCTGTCTGGTTTTTCTGCTTTCAGCCAAGATCCATCTGGTATCAGTAATGAGAGTCCTGCTGCAACCGTATTTGAATTATCTTTAGCATCATTTCACTTGCTTATGATATTAATGATATTGTTTGATAATTTCCACTTTCTGTTGGATCACTTTTTTTTTAGGAATGGGCACAAATATGGATCCCTTCCAGTTGGCTAGCCAGGAAATTTCAAACTTCTTGGCATAAATGAGCGAGTGGATCTAGCATTGTCATTAAATTGTTGAAATACCTCAATTAGTGTTCTGTCAATCCCTGTAGCTTTGTTTGTTTTGCTAAACCCCTCAGTGTAGCTTGGACCTCTTTCTTCAGTACCATTGGTTCTTATTTATATGCTACTTTCTAAAATAGTTGAATATTGATCAATTATTTTTGGTACAGTGGTTCTGTGTATTCATTTCGATGCTTCCTGTAATCATTCAATACTTTGCCCATAGAATCCTTCAATATTGCAACTTGAGGCTTGATTTTTTTTTCTTCAATCCTTTCAGCTTGAGGAATGTAAAGAATGTTGCTCCATTTTGGTCTTCTAACTCTAGGTCTCTGCACATTTCATCATAATACTTTGTCTTCTTGAGTCTCTCTTTGAAATCTTCTGTTCAGCATTTAAATTTTATCATTTCCACTTGTTCAGCTACTTTACATTCAAGAGCGAGTTTCAGTCTCTTCTGACATCCATTTTGGTCTTTTCTTTCTTTCCTGTATTTTTAATGGTCTTTCTTCACGTAGGATTGTCCTTGATGTCATCCTAAAACTTGTTTGGTCTTAGTCATTAGTGTTCAGTATGTCAAATCTGTCCTTGAGACAGTCTGAGGTTCAGGTGGAACATATTCAAAGCTGGTTGTACTTTGGCTCTTTGGGATTTGTTTTTTAATTTTCTTTAGCTTCAACTTGAACTTGCATATATGAACAATTGATAGTTTGTCCTGCAGCTGGACTCTGACCTTGTTTTAACTGATGATATTGAGCTGTTTTACCATCTCTTCCCACAGATGTAGTCAATTTGAATCCTGTGTAGTCCATCTGGCAAAGTCCATATGTATGATCATCATTTATATTGTTGAAAAGGGTATTAGCAATGAATACATTGCTGGTCTTGAAAAATTCTATTATGTGATCTCCAGAGTAGTTTATTACCAAGGCTGTATTTTCCTAGTACTGATCCTTGTTTCCAATTTTCACATTCCAATCACCAGTAAATATCAATGCATCTTTGACCAATTGCATCTTTGATCAATTTCAGACTGCCAAAGTTGGTAAAACCTTCAATTCCTTCATCTTTGGCATTAGTGGTTGGTGTGTAACTTTGAGTAATAGTCATAGTAACTGGTCATCCTTGTAGGTGTATGGATATTCTTCTATTACTGACAGTGTTGTACTTCAGAACAGATCTTGAAATGTTCTTTTTGATAATACATGTGATGATGCCATTCCTCTTGAATTCGTCATTCCTGGCATAGTAAACCTCATAATTGTCTGATTCAAAATGGCCAACATATGTCCATTTCAGCTAATGCCTAGGATATTGATCTTTATGCATTTCCTTTCATTTTTGACAATTTTCAATTTTCCAAATTCATATGTCATACATTCCACATTTCAAGTAGTAATGGGTATTTGCAGCTACTGCTTCTCATTCTGAGTCCTGGCCATCTGGAACTGAAGGTCTCCAAAGCTTTGCTCCATCCAAGCCATTAAGGTTGACTACTGTAGGAGGCAGCTCTTCCCCAGTCATATTTCAAGTGCCTTTCAACCTGAGGTTTGCCTCTTCCAGCACTATTATCAGACAATGTTCCATTGCCAGTTTTTTTCAGAAGTAGGTCACCATGTGCTTCTTCCTAGTTAACTCCAATGTAGCTATTATGTAGAATTGTTCTGATCAAAATTGCCACCACTTTCATTTTCTCTTAAGTACTTATGCTCTTACTCTTTAATCAAACACTTTGTCCTAGGGAGAGAAAATGATCTGCCACTTCATTATGCTGTAGGAATCTTTATTGTTGCTCAGCAACACTGACTCTAGACCCAGTGAAAGACTCCTTGCTCTTTGAAGAACTATCTATATGTGATTAATGTGACATGAGCAACTTAAAAGATTAGACAGAAACCTTAGGGGGTAGTGGGGTTATGATAATGGGGAAGAAACAACTCAGAAAAGGAGAGTAAGAATGGTTGTACAACTTGATGACTATAATCAACGTCATTGAATTGTATGTGCAGAAACTGTTGGTGTATGTTTTTCTGTGTAGATTCTCAACAACAACTAAAAGTCCATTTGAGTATGGTCGTATAGAAGTCAGTAAGTACTTAGGAAAGATGTGTCACTGGAACTGGCCTGGGAAGTAACATAGCTTTCTTGGGTCTACTAAGAATAACCGTGATCCCAGAAGCATAGCTGAGGAAGGACAATGGGTCCTTTGTTAGTTCTGAAAACAGGACTGAAACATAACTAAACTTACCACTTGAAGAAGGGCCAAATATCCTGCCCCAACGTTGTCAAAGTTGATCTTTACGTTCTTCCACCTGATTTCTGTATTGTTCCCTTCCATGAGCTTTTCACACTCAGTTTTATTGTTGACATCTTCAATTTCAAATCGAATTTCAGAAGTCTCATTAAAACAGTAGTGGTACTTTCCCGCAAACAGGTTAACTCCCATGATGCTGAAAATCAGCCAGAAGATGAGACACACCAGCAGTACATTCATGATGGAGGGGATGGCGCCCACCAAGGCATTCACCACCACCTGCATTGGAAGGGGGAGGTTGCTGAGTGTTGGGAGAAAGTGGGGGAAGCACATTCTTTTGATTTCCAGGAGGGGAATGACACTGTGTGACTTGCTGACTATGGGAACTTTAGGTCCATGTGGGGGAGGGGGGGCAACATTTTCTAAGTCAATGAACTATATTTTAGGGGGTGATTTTAATAAATCACATATTATTTCAAGTAATACAAATTCCTCTGCCCAAGTTGACCTTAGGTCTTCTCTCTAGGAAGCAACCTGGGACAGAAAAAATATTTCTTGAGACAGAAAAAATATTTCTTAGCCCAGTCTTGCTCCCCCATGGCTGATAAAATATGGTCCCCGGGGAAAATCTGAATAATTTCAAGCTCACTAGTTGTCTTTCAACAGACATTCCCCCTCTGCAAAACAAGGTATAATTGTTCAAAATCACAGAGAACTACCCCTTGGGGTTAGCAGTGAATCACTCAACAGTATATAAAGTCTGTTTTATGACTATGCAAGGCCAGTTATCTTATTTCAGGCAGTAGCTGAGCATGCATATTTTGCAGGCTCAAGAAAAAATAAAAGCTATATTCCCTCTACCAAACAGGATAAAATAAAAATCTGAACAGATGTGCTTTTCAGTCAGTTCATTATTCTTCTGTTCTCCCCCACCCGCCCCCTCCCCCTGGCTTTGTATGTTTCTAGAGCTAAGAGTTGCCCCCTGCTGGCGGAGCAGCCACTACACATTGAGGGCTAGATACTGTGATGTCTCACTGTTCAATCCAGGCTTGACTTGATTCTTCACAAGCTATTAGAAATAGTAATTAGTTTTGTTTGTTTTTGGAGAGTTTTAGGTGGGCTAAGAGCATTGCTCTTAGAGCCTACAATTTGGCATACTACTAAAAATCATTGACTATAGCTCACTAAGATCTTGCTTCACACTACAGATGAGAGTAGTCAGACAATACTTCCACTGTTGTAGCAGTTGTTGAAACTTGTAGAGGAGTTGAAAATGCTTACAAAAATAACACTGTGGTGGTGGGGCAGAAACAAAGCTGGGAGTAAAGATCCTCATTTCTGTCCTGATTCTCACTTGCTGCTGTCTGAAGCACGATTGTCCAGGCAAGAAAGGTTACTCTAGAATGGGAAGAATGTTTCTTCCTTTTCCTAGTAGCCTAGGAAGATCAATGGAATTAAAATTAAAACACTGGCCATAAATGAAGTCTACCTTCTCCTAATATTTTCTTAGGAGGAGGTGACAAGGGTTATTTTGTCCCTGCAGCAATTTTTCAATACAGGTAAGAAACATGTGACTGGCTGCCAACTAGCACAACATCCCTAGGGTGATGCTGTAGGAGGCACACCAGGGGGCACTTGTGGGCTCTACTGTGGGCTCTACTTAGGTTTAGGGTTTCCTTATCTTATGGTTTTGCCTTAGATTGCAATGTATGCATCAGAACATGTGACTAAGAAAAGCGATCTGATACGCCCTATTTGAAATAAATAAAAAGGCAATGATATTCTGCTAGGGACTCACTCTTCTTCTAGGTTAAAATATTGATTTTGTGTTTCTCCAATTCATACAAGAAAGCCTTTAGATTGAGAGGCAGTTATTTCTTAGACCAAGAAATCTCTTCCAAATCTAATAGCTGTGACATTAGTATAAAATGGTTATATTTCAACTGCTGATACAAGGAAAGCCAGAAGATCTAAAACCTGGAAAACCCTCAAGTGTCATTTTGGATAATGATACTAACATTTATTTATTTGGTAATTATTATTATTTGTTACCAAATTAGCCAGGTGATTAGACTTGTATTTTACCTCTTCATTCTACAGTTGCTCACTCTTTGGTGAGAACACCAAAAAGCAATGAAATGTGCAAAAGAATAGGCAAAAGAAGGATGGTCCACAAATGGAATAATCATTCCCCAAACAGTAAGAGAACTACCCACTGCCATTGAGTCGATTTCAGCCATAGATAATGCAAAGACTCAAAGCTCAAGTCTCTGTGACAGCATCTTGCAGCAGAGCTAAGTGGAGGTCATGACCTTCTATCAGATCATCACAACTGTGCCACTGACAGTAGGCCCTGAGAATCAGAAACCAAGAAAAACTGTTTTCCATCTCAATTCAGAGTCTCCTTCTCTAGGTAACATCTCCTGACTATACAGAGGGTGATGGCGTAGTATTTACAACAGGGAAGAATAATTAGCTAATTGACTAAGTGATCTCTTTGTACTTTCATACTGATCAATGGAATCAATACACAAAAGTATTTACTGAGCCTCACTCTGAATGATGTAAAAACCCTGTAATATCCAGTGTACTTGTATGATGCAAATATACTAGCATCTATAAGTCATAATCAAGGGGAAACTTCTCACCCTAATCAGTTTTATGACTGAAATAATTAAAGGAGTTGATAAAATATATTAATAATTCTTCCTTGCTGTGAACATTAGCTGAAAACTACAATATGTTAAATAGAAATCATTTAACTGAACTCATAATATAGCTGTCTTTGTGATAGTCTTAGCAATCAAAGAACAAGAAACCTTCCTATTCTAAATCCTTATACTACAGATATTTTATAAATGAGAATTCAAATTTCCCTGGGTAGTTGCTTAATAAATTGAATTTCCTCTTCAGCTCTTGGTATTCCACATTGACTTTAATTAAGATGAATCTCATTATTGTTAAAACTAGATATTGGTAATATCACTCAAAACTAGGCTCTTTCAAATTTATTCAGTTATTTTTCCAATGGAAGTTTTTACTTAGCAATCTAATCAATGAGGAAATTCCAATAGTACTAATCTGTACAGCATTTCTGTCCTTTCTAAAGGGCTAGTACATTATTGTTGCTCATTAAATACTACCAAATCTGTCAATTAGCTTTTAATATCTGGCAGAGGGAACATGGCTTTAATGGACAACTGTGTACTGACAATCAACAAAAATGCATGCATGTTTCATAGCACTACTATGATAGATATATCTTCAAAATTTAATAGCACAGCACAATTTTTAGATGATTACTATGGAGGAGAGAAAAGCAAAGAACTACATTAAGTATTCCTTTGCCAATAGCAAGAGTGTGTCAATGTTCTGGTCTTTGGTTTGAGGAAGGAGAGAAGAAGACAGGAGTCAGTGTTCCAGGACACGGTAGGGTCATGTTCCTTCTCAAGTGAAGGCTGAGGCCTACATTGGAGCAGCACAGTGACAGTTGAGCTCAACTGCATTGATGGCATTCAGTTCACGAAGGTCTTACTTAAAGATTTCATATTTTCAGCGTTATTTCAAGTATTAACATACAGAGGAACCCAAACCAAAGATTGAAAAACATATACACTTCTCACCACCCTCCCCATTGCCCGAAAATAAAAAGAACATTTAAATAATATGTATGAACCTAATTCTGTTTATTATTGGGGCACTTACTATAAATTTTTGCAAATTCCGTATTTTCTTCTTGTAGTTACTCTTCCACAGAAGGGCTGGGAAACTTCAGGACAGGAATAGATGGATCCCTGGATCCTCTCCACCCACCACCCACCCAGTTACAATTAGGACTGCTGGCTAATTGGAGTAAACCACAGAGAGCCTATACTCACAGCCACTCTCGCTAGCACTGATGGTTCTAAATTCCAGTCTGGGGTTCAGACTGGCTCTTGTCCATATTATCTTACTTGAAAAGATGTGATATAGATGTTTCACTTTCTAGTGCTTTTCCAAATCAAACGTTTTATAGCTCCGTGCATCCATTCTTGACCTCTGGACTTTTAAACTGCTTGAAAGTCGACAAGTAAAAGACAGTCCAGGGAGAGTAGGGAAAGGAGGAGGAGCTAAAGGGAAGAGGTGTGGCCACCAGAAAGCCTTCCCTATCTAAATCATTCAAAGGGTCTCCTCCTAAGCGCACTGGCATCTGCTGGCCCTAGATGGAGAAAGGCAACAACATGAGTCAGTTGGGCATTTTTTCTTGGCCTTTCTTCAGGTCTACCAATCTCATTTTAGCTGATCCAGGATTACTGTGATAGGACAGTGGGGGATCAAAGTCTACCAAGTTCAGGCACGAAGTTGCATGTACAGTCTTTAATAGACTTCTTTTAACGGAATCTTGACCTCAGTTTTTCAGTCACCAAGATGGATTATAGATCCGTTCACAAAAATTGTATCATCTATTTAAAAATTTTAACTAATGGCTTCTGAACAATGTGGAAAGGTGGGCAGAATAGGGAAGAAGAGCATTGAATCCTATTTTCAAGGATACCATCTTAATCCTGTTCTGAAAGACACCTTCTCTCCCTCAATTTAGCCTGAGCTTAAAAATGGGCTCATTGCAAGCATTCTCTCATCCAAGGGAGCAAGACTTAGAATCCCAAACTGTTTATTATTATTAACATAAAATTATGCTGCTGTGGATACCTGCGGATGGTTTGGGGCAGACTGCATAAAGCTTACATCCAGTGAACCAATTGTGACTGTGCTACAGAAGAAACATGAGTTTGTTGCAAAAAGTATTTGTCCAAATTGATTAACATAGTGAAATCCAACTCCCAAGTCCCAGTGAAAGTTTCACTTCCTGTACAACTGTGGGTGGCTTCACAGAACAGTGGCCAGGGATCACAGATGAGGAATGAATGAAGCAGCGCTGTCCTGGTATTTAGTTTCTCCAATTAACCTCGCCTCATGTGGACTATTGCAACAGTTTAGTTTTTATTCCTACATTCTGATATTTGCACGTTTAAAAACATATCCTCTGGTTTACTCTCCTGCATGTATTCAACATCTGAATTAAAATGAGCTTTCTTGGTCTCGTTAAGTATAACAGACCTCTCTGATTAACAGAGGACAACTACTACCACCAAAGTCAGTTGTCCGCTTGATTTGTGTGTGTGTGCACGCATGCATGCACACATACACACTTAAAACTGAGAGACAGGAAAAAGGCCCCTAAAAGAGGGAGCCTTATTTCTAAATTATAAGTGTGACAGCATATATTGCTTGAATTTAGGTGATGTTATCACCAGGCAGAAATAGGAGGTATCCAGAAATTTCAGGAGAACTAGCTGATATTCCGTCATCTAGTTATTTTGACAGTGTTAGGATAGGGCCAGATAGCATGGGCAGAGGGGTCAGGGGTGAGGAGGAAAGCTTTGCTATCAGACAGAGGCTGCCAGTCCTTATGGGACTGGGCTGAGAACAACAAGGTGCAATAAGAGGAATCAGAATAGAAAGAAAAGCATTTCTTCTCCCAGGGTCATGCCAAATTCTGCTCCATCCCCAATTCCAGGCCTGCCATCGGGTCTTTATGGCTTTTCTCAGCCACTTCCTCAGTGACGCCAGGACCACAGTCCCCACCTGGCTGGTATCCCTACACAGCACTCTCCCTGCCTGCAGCCTATGCTTTTCAGTGGGTCTGTGGGTTACAATTCCCCTTCTTTGCACCTGGTGATTCTCCCTATTTAATCAACAGCCCAGAAAGCCGCCCCAAGTGCTACAGGTAAGCCAGGCCAAATGAGAATAGCCAATGTTAATATGTTCTGCGATGGCATGTTGTTGGGAGTGGGGCCAATATTAATGTGATGAGGCAGCTTAATGCAACTCCCCTTCGCACAGGGCAGGTGCGAGGGAGAAAGAGTGGAGGATCCAATCAGCGGCTGCATCACAGAGTTCGTGTTTGAATGCTCTTTCCACCACGTGATCAGTTCTAGCATGCTTAAACAGTTTCCACTGGCATGCAGAAGGATCAGCTGCTCTTAGGATCTTACCCTCATCCCTTCAAATCGTGATAAGGCTCTTAAGGGTCTCAAAGCTCTTAGGGTCCTAAGGGACTTTATGGCACCTAGTTCCGAGTAGCCCAGGGCATTAGCTATAAGGCTGACTAAAGAGACCTACACAGAAACAGAAGAGAAAAACAAAAAAAGGAAAAAAAAAAAAAGAAAAAGAAAACAGAGGTTCCAGAGAGTTAGAATGAAGCCCCTAGCACTGATTATACAGCTCTGGGGCCCCCCCACCAGGTAGAGGAAGTGGGTAACACCAGCTGCCTACTTCAACTTGACTCAGACAACCTGGAAGGAAAGGTGGTTGAGAGGCAGAAGAGAAAACACAAAGGGAAGAGAAATTTGAGAAAAGGCAGTAGAACATACATACACGTTGGAAAAGGGTAGAGGCTAAAGGGAGAGGGAGAAAGTGAGGAAGTTCCATTGGAAGGAGAGGAGCCTGAACAGATGACAAGAACCTTACCCTCGCCCTTTACAGTCACTGCAGGTCCCAGAAGTTCCCATTAAATTAAGCCACACAAATTTAATGGTACCTATGGAAAAGAATACAGATAAATACACACACTCCACACCAGGGGCCCCCTCCTCAGTTCATTCACCATGAGATTTCCAACCGGGCAAGCTCCCTTACTCCTGGTTGACAAGAAATCATGTGTTTGACGATTTGCTGAGTTACTACATCAATAAAGGAAACAAATTCAATGAGTACCGTTGACTTTGCAGTTCCCAAGAAGAAAAGAACCAAATGAGGAAACTCCTTGACAGAATTGTGGCTCTATGAGAATTCACTCAACTAATTCTTCTTTCTTTTGCTTTTAATTAAAACCGTCCTTCCATAGTTCAATCATAACCATGCTCTCTTCATGACCATGAGAACTTGGCATGGGTTTGACAAGTGAATCTATCCTTTTCCTTGTAACTACTATTGGTTATGAGGCTGCTGCTTCGTTCTGTTGTACGTAGGGTTGCTATGAGTTGGAACCCACTTGATGCATCTAGCAACAACCACTCTTTCCCTCCCAAATGAGCTGTCCTCAGGTCTGTGACTTCCAGGAAAATCTTCTATTAGTACTCTCATTGGATAACCGCTGGAAGGAATCATGGAAGCATTTTTTCCTTCACTTTATAAAGGAGGAAATGGAAATCCATACACAGCAGTTTGTTCAGTGTCACCTCAATAGTCTGGGGTCTGGATAAAAGATCCACACTGTCTGACTCCCGGGTTAGATGATACCATCCCAGCAGGATTACCTGTGTCTGGACAATCAAGAGTTGTATATATTGTCAAGCTGGGATGAAGTCTGTAGCTCTCCACGCCTAGACTCATAGTCCAATGCTTTCCTGTTCCTTTAGAGATGAACCCACCTTGTACTATGAGAGCCCTTAGGGTTGTAACCAGAAGGTTTCCTTAATAATGGACACTAACTGCCCAGAGGGCTGCCTTGGCCTGATCTGAGAGAATGAAGGGCATCAGAGGGGCACCACCCTGAAAATATCTTCAGTTGCTGAAATCCTAGATTGGCTCTGGGTTTCCTACAGCAGCCTTTTTCTTATACTGCAGAACAAATTCTAGGCTAGGTTAAGAAGTTCCCACCAACAATTTGTCAATTCCCCCTACGGAGCAGTAGTAGCTGCAGGTCTATACAGCCTAAACCAATAATTTTAGGCAAATGCAAAGAGGCAAAAAAGGGAACAATCCACAGTTCAGTTTCATGTGCTGCTCTTTTTAGCTCGATCAAGGGGCTTTAGTTCTTTGATTCTGTACTTCAGAACTGCACAAAATTAAGGGGGAAAAAAAGAAGACATAAATAATGAAGCAGCATGACTGGCAGGGAGTTGAGTGGAGGGCCAGAGGTAGAGATGGGCAAGGTGTAGGCTCTAAGGTTGCAATTTAAAACAGGGACGTGAACCTTTGTCTCTGCATGTACTCATCATGATTCATCAGAGTAGGTATCTTCTCTGGAGCCCTAGGTAGGCAGTGTCCAAAGCAAATTAGGAACTAGATGCTGCCTTATTAGTCTACTGAGCTCTTTGAAGGAGAGATGGTCCAGAGTTCAATTTCGGCCTGAAACAAAGGTCCTAGAAACCTCAAATAGTCTGATCAAATAATCTTGTTTCTTTTTGCCCATCATTATCAGTAAGGATCTATATGGATGTGTGGTTTGCTTACTATAGCCAAATGCAGCTAACTCTTAACCCCAATATTCAAAAACTGTCAGATTCATAGTGAGACTTTAATAGGTACATATGAAGCTAAGTTATCCCATCTCAAAGATGAACCTGGGTTTAAAAGACCCCTGAGTCAGCTTCATCCTGTGGAACTCTACCAGGCAAAGGTTACAAAACCAAAACATCAAGCTTAATAGGCCTTGAATGGCTATAGGCCCCATAAAGGTCAAGTGGACCCTACTCTTTAGGGTGGGTGTTTTATCTGATAGCAAATGGGCCTAAAGTGGGGACAAGGGTGGAGGAGATGTGGAAGCAGCTTTGAGCCAATAGGCTCTAAGTATGGCTGAGAGGTCATCTGCTGTTCAGTGGACCCATCTGGAGGAGAAATCCCAGAGCACAACTCAGAGGTTCTAGCTGAGTTACAGACTAGCAGCTCAGGACTCTCTTATAATCTTGAGTCTTCCTAATAAGTCCTCACTAGGTACTTAGAAGATGACTCCTGGTGTGGTGCTATAGGATCAGCACAGGACTGCAAACCACAAGGTTAGCAGTTCAAATCCACCAGCCACTCCTCAGGGTCACTATGAGTTGGAACTGATGCAACAGCACTTAATAACAACAATGGATACTTAGAACACTGCTCAAAGTATGCTTTATGGACAGAATCAATCCTAAAGCAAAACAAAATCAGTTGAGAAAAAGTCAAAATTCAGGGATCTATGGTTACAGGCATAGAAAAAAAGGGAAAGATACTGGGTGATTTTTTTCAAACTAATATGGAAAATGTCAAAGAGTGTATTTCCATTATTCTGAATTCAGGATGAGGTGAGTGGTATTTGAAAGTCCCCATCCCTAGACACAAAGTTAATTTACAGGCCAAGGTTTTCAGTGTTAAAAAGGACCCGAGCCAAACTAGATGTGGCCCCTGGTTGGGAACTCATGACTTATATAGAAAAAGAATTAACCTTGGGAGTTGTCTGGATTATTACCATGCTTCCAGGAAGTACCATATGTACAGCTATTATGGGGCAACAAGGAAGAATACAAATACAGTAAGTCAAAAACAAACTCACTTGCTAAGGAGCAGATTCCAACTCATAGTGACACTGAATTTTATACCAGCAATGGTGTTTAATTTAAATCTCTTACTGACAGTTGGTAGAAGATAGGAGGCCTTCTCAGAGCCACTGTTAGACCCCATGCTGTTGTCGTTAAATGCCATTGAGTTGGTTCCAACTCATAGTGACCCAGTATAGGGTTTCAGAGGAGCAGTCAGTAGGTTTGAACCACCAACCTTGAGGTTAGCAGTATAGTGTTGATCCTACAGCACCACACCAGGACTCCCCTACTAGTAATGTAAAAAAATCGAGTGACTCCCAAAGGCTACAGGGATTTATGGATAATTATCAGTGTAGTGGCTACGAATCGGGCTGCGAACCTTAAGGTCAGCGGTTCGAAACTACCAGCTGCTCCGCGGGAGAAAGATGAGGCTTTCTACTCCCGTAAAGATTTACACCCTCAGAAACCCTGTACAGGGTCGCTATGGGTCGGAACCGACTAGATGGCACTTAACAACAACAACATCAGTTGGCTACAAGCTTTATATTGCCCTGCTACCTAGTATAAGTGACAAAATGTTTGCTAAATAAATAGTGATGTATAGGATACTAATACTTTTGACAACTATTTGTGTACTGAAGGAATGTGGGATACGCTGGAATTCTGGGGCTGTTCAACCCAGAGAGAATAGAATGGTTCCAGTCAGGGCAGATGGTGGAGGAACAAAACGCCATGGTGGGGAAGATATGTGCACGTAAATTTCTCCAGAGCAGCTGGGAATGTGGTAGTGGAGGTTCTTGGAAGGTCCAGAAGATTGGGGGGGGGGGGGTGCACCTTCTAGGACTTCACTGGTGTGCCACGTGACTCTTCAGTGGTCCTGAGGAATTAAGAGTGAAATAAAGACTATTCACTTCCCCTGTTCTCTATGAGAGCTGATGCCAGTCCATTTCTTAAGTTTTAGAGGTCAAGCTTTTCATCTGTGGAAGGCAGAAATCCTTCCATCTAGTTACCAACAGTGCTGATGGATTACTGAAACCTCCTGCTAGCTCTCAGGCTGGCCTCCTCTAAGGCCACACCTCTGGTTCATTTTAAGGACCTCCTCACCCCATTTAGGCATTTGCCTAAAGACTTGCTTTCTGAAATGTTGTTGTTGTTGTTAAGTGCCGTCGAGTCGGTTCCGACCCAAAGCGACCCTGTACAGGGTTTCCGAGGGTGTAAATCCTTACGGGAGTAGAAAGCCTCATCTTTCTCCTGTGGAGCGGCTGGTAGTTTCGAACCGCATGGGACAATGTTGATTATCTCCTAGAAGGAGTCATTACAAGTTTAAGTTGCAAATATTGTACTGGGAAAGGAATGCATTTTCAGAGCAGAACTCATTACTTGTGCAGAGCACTGGGCTCTTGTTACCTCATGACAGATTTCCATTCTCCTCTCTCTAGATACCAAGGGCACTCTCTAGTTTAGTTCACATTGCAGCCAATAGGTCTATATTTCAAATGTACCAACCCAGCGCCAAACACTCCACTTCCTTGGCACTTCTCAGCGCTCAGCAGGGAGTAAATGCTCCATATGCCCTGGTTCTGAAATTCCCATTTACCCTTTCTCTAAAATGCTGATTTAGCTGGAAGAAAAAAGCTGTAGTTAATTATACAGAATCAGAGACCAGTCGTTGTTAGTAAAGCCAACAAGGAATAAGTGCTGGTGGGGTGAGAAACAGTTATAGTTGATTCAGCTTCCGACCTGAAAAATAACAGTGGGTAATAGCCACCAAGTCTCAGAGATGGTCTTGGAACCTAGAAGAAAGGATTGTGTCCGGTTTGATTGTCACTGTGGAAGATTTCAATGTGTGGGAAGAGGGGAACTTTTGAATTACTACTTTCTTAAAATGATAACTGATTTTTTTTTTTTGTATGAAAAACTTTTCCACTCTCCCCAATTACTTAACTTGCTCAGCTGAACCTGTACCAGGACCTAAGTTAGATGTAAGTGTCCATGGGAACGGTCAGAAGAGTCCACACAGACCCATCACCATCTCTCTCAACTCCTTCTCCTGGCAGCAAAAGAGGGCATACAGCTGGCTTGGGCCAAGAACCTTCCCGCTCCCAGACTCATAACAAGGGGCTTTGAGACCAATGATTCCATTTCCCATTCCCAGTTTCTGAGTTTTCTAAGCCAAACCTACCAGAGTAGAGTTGGTTGGTGAGTCCATGGAGCAAATTCAGGGACTCCAGCACTCTCCTTCCCTAAATTAAGATCTGAGTGCTCTGAAAGGGACTTTACCCAAACCTACATCTGCATCTCATCCTATAACCTGGGTCCCAGAGGAAGAAAAGATCCCCGTTTGTGTTTTCCAGTTAAATGGGTGGGAAGGAGAAAGCAGAACACGTACAGCCACAATGAGGAAGTCCAGCCAGCACCAGGCATTGGTGAAGAATTTGACGAAGCCATAGGCTGTCCATTTAAGCAACATCTCCAGGATGAAGATATAGGTGAAGACTTTGTCAGCATAATCCAGGATGGTACGAATGGTCTTCCTCTGCTCAATGTAGATGTCCTCAAAGGCCTGAAAGAGAAGCAGTAGCTGCCTATAGTGCCTAAAATCAAACAAGAAAGAATAGAAGCACTGCCATTCTTGGGCAGCTCCTCCTACACAGGGTTGGCCTATCACCAGTTTCCTGTCTCTTTCACCTTACTCCCCTGTGACATATATTTTTAAAAACCGTATTCTTGAGATATGATTCAGATATTATATAATTCACTCAGTTAAAGTCAGTGGCTTTTAAAAACATTCAGATATTTTAGCAAATATTTAGTATATTTAGTGCATCTACCACCAGAGTCAATTTTAGAACATTTTTACTCTCTCCAAAATGAAATAGTTGTCACTCCTAGTCCCCCCTCCCCCATCTCTCTTAGCCCTAGGCAAGTGTGAATCTACTTTCTGTCTCTAGAGACTTGTCTATTTTGGACATTTCTTATAAACAGAATCATACAAAATGTCCTTCCTTTATGCCTGACTTCTTTCACTCAGCATGCTTTCAAAGTTTCCCCATGTTGTAGCATGAATCAGTACTTCACTCATGTGTAACATGAATGAGTACTTCACTCATGTTGTAAAATGAATCAGTAGTACTTCACTCATGTTGTAAAATGAATCAGTACTTTACTCATGTTGTAGCGTGAATCAGTACTTCATTCATGTTGTAGCACGAATCAGTACTTTGTCCCTTTTTATGGCTGAATAGCCATTGCATGAATACACAAAGGAGCTTCAAAAAGTTTGTGGAAAAATTCCATTATTTTTTAATTCCATTTTTCTATGAATTTTTTGAAGCCCCTTGTACTGTACCATATTTTGTTTAGCCTTTATCAGTTGCACATTTGTGGTGTTTCTTCTTTTGTGGATAATGTTGCTATGAACATTTGTATGCAAGTTTATGGCTATATGTTTTCATTTCTTTTGAGTATATGCCTAGGAGTGGAATGGAGGAATCAGATGCTAATGTTATGTTTACCCATTTGGGGAATATCCAAGCTGTTTCCCAAAGTGACTACATCATTTTACATTCCAGTGAACAACATATAAAGGTTCCAATTTCTCCTCACCAACACAACACATGCTCTTTCTCTTTCATCCTCTCAGAGCCCTCACAGGGCAGACCTTGGGTCCTGGGAATGGGAGCCAGCCAGGTGAGGACATTTTTAGTACTACTTTCTTTCTCTGGCATTCCTGAATGAGGGAATTCCCTGATAGGAAGAGATGGGCATTCCCACTGTAGAGTGGTGGACTGCTGTACAGGTGGGGTTCCTAAGGCTTGAGAAACACCTGTGGAGGTGAAAGAAAAGTTCCAACTCAAGCAGTAGGGGTGCCTACTTTGGGCAGTTACAGAAAGATAGAATGGGGTTACCAGTAGTCTCACTTTCCAGAACGAAGGCACATGGACATCAGATGATCTAGTTTCAACACTGGACAGTGGGGTCATGGACTTCATTGTCCTTCTCAGTCTTGGTACAAATATATTCCCTCTGCTCAATAAAAAAGCAGCAGCTTCCACATCAGGTTTCACCTGATTCAATTTCGTAGAAATCCATTCTATAACCTAAGATATAGGAGATGTCCTAGACTGACCTTCATATCACTGGGGGCTCTAATGCCCTCCCTCTGAAGTCTCATTGCTAGATTCTAGTCTTTTCTTGGATGTGTTAACTGTGTCAGCAGTAAGTTATTCTTAAATTTCATGTCTACTGTTGTACAGGGGCTATTTGTACTGAGCCATGTACCTCTGGTTTATTGTGACAACATATTGTCCAAGGTGAGTAGTAAAGAAAGCTGAAAACTTTAGTGTCACTGCTGCCTTTATTCTTTGCAGAGAGGGTAAAGAGCTGACTTAAGGGATGAGTATGTTCTGTTATTCTAGGTTTGTGTGCATTAATTACATCTGAAGAATAATTTGGGCAACAATAATAAAGTGCCTTTCTTTAATCACTCCCCTTAGTCTGATTTGCCCTTTTCCCAAAGGTAGAGGTCCTGCTTTTACTTTCGGAAGCTTCATAGCACCTCAGTAACTGTTGAATGAATGCTTCTTGATACAGTAAATGATCCAAGGGCAGGTAAGACCATCTGGTTCCCCTTTGTTCAGATCAAAGGTTACCAGACCATCTCTTGCTCCATTTAACTTTAATCCTGACATCCTCCCAGAAAAACTAGGGCTGTGCAGACTGGGCTTCTTTACTCACAATATTGCCTTTTTCAAGGAGCCCTGGTAGCATAGTAGGTTACACATTGGGCTGCAGATGGTAAGGTCAGCAGTTCATATCTACCAGGCTGGAGAAAGACGAGGTTTTCTGCTCCCATAAAGATCTACAGCCTCGGAAACTCTCCACAGGGCCACCATGTGAGAGGAACTGACTCCATGCTACAGCACCACCACCACCTTTTCCAGCTTCTTCTAGCCTCCTAATTCACAAGTCAGTGAACGCCACAGTTGGGATCTATTTTAATAGTAGCTTGTGGGGTTCTCGTTTGATTCCTTGGTAACTAAAAAAAAAAATTTTTTTTTTTTTTTTGCTTCTAGCTTAAGCTTTGATTTCATATTGCATCAATATGTGCGCTTACTTTAAAGGCATTCAGAATTCTGTATCCTTCGCTTTTCCCTAAATTAAAAGAGAAAAATATGTAGTGTCTTTAATTCTGGCTGCCCTGAAATTTACTCAGCTAAAACAGAGCTCCCTCACACGAGATTCTGTCCAGGTCTCTCTGTTCCACTATAACCCACTTAAAACTGATGCAAATGTGAAGATAATTAGTCTTGGTAGGGGAGCAGCTTGTGTCTGACGCCCTATATAGGTATCTGACTAATGAACGATAAGTACTTACAACACGTGAATATAAGTAACCTTGGAATCTGAGAGCTGACATTTCTAATCTCCAAAGATTTGCCCTGGGTTCTCCATATTTAGTAGGGTGTTAACGGTGACTCGGTGAGGAAATACCACCTCCCTCCTACCTTGGGCAACTGAAAAGAATATGAGATTTTGGGTGTTAGCTGAGAGGAGGATGTTCATTTTAGGAAGTTGCTTAGAATGGGGCAAACCAGGCAGTGAAGACAGTTCGTAACCTGTGTGTTCCATTCTGATGAAAAGGGGATGGGGTCTTATGCTTGAGAGGGATCATGCTGAGCCTAAAGAAGATCAGGGTTTGGACAAGTGTGAATTCCAATCCCAAAGACTCAAAGCGCCAGCCCAAAGCTCTTTAACAGACCATTATCTATGGTCAATTTGTGTTTTCAGAGAAATTGAGCTTAGGCCTTATTCAGCTTTTCCCCACTAGTTTCTATAAACCCTTTCCCAGCCAATCCCTCATCAGACTCTTCCCTGGGCCTCACCAGGGCGCCACTGCTGAGTAGGATCATGAAGATGATGAAGGTCTCAAACCAATTGTGCTCCACAATGAGGAAGCAGGTTTTCCGTAGAATCCACCAGGACTTGCCTAGCCCTTCCTCAATGTTGACCTGGCAGCACTTGAACCGCTGGACACAACCTGGCACCCATAGGAGAGAGGCACGTCAGACCATGATGAGTACACTCTGCCCAGACCTGGTCTCTCCTCCATCTCCCAGGCCCCCCCAGGTGATGCCCTCCCCCTGCCCCACCCCAGCCAGGAGTACAACAGCTGAATCAGAATGTCTGATTCAGAAATGGAGAGGGTGACAGGGCCGAGGCTCTGCTGCAAGGCAAACAGGGCAAAACTATCTGGAGTTGGCAAGATCTCCTCTAAAGCAGCAGTGAGGGGGTGCAGAAAAGGGGAGTCAGGAGGCAAACATGGCCACAGTAGAGTATGCCTTTCTAAAATTGAAATCTTTGGGCTGAAACCAAGAGAAAATGGACAAAGCAAAGTCTGAGAATAGAAATCTCTTACAGCTCAAATCACACAGGGGAAACAAGAATAACTTTCCTCAAAATGGCAGAGTGGGCAACAAAGTTCTTAAGGCTTGTCACCAAGCCCCTCTTTCTCTCATCCAGCCATGAACCCTGACAGAAATCCGTCCAGAAGCAGTCAAGTGCCACATGTGCACCCCCTGTCACCTTCTGTGAAGCAGGCATCTGGATCTAGGTATTCCTCAGGCTGCTCCACAGGGACCTCTTCTACTTCTGGTTTGATATCGATGGTACTTCCCTCAGAAGAGCTAGTGTCATCCAGTTTCTAGATATGCAAGGGAAACAGGCAGAAAGTAACTGCAGTAGCACATCCACTCCAAACTGATACCCCCGCTTCTAATAGGGATGATGTACCAGTTATAATTCATGAGTTGGTGAAACCATCCAACACATGGTGAGCAAACCATCCCAAACCAAACCAACTGTTGTGGAGACAATTCTTACTCATAGAGTCCCATAGGACAGAGGAGAACTGCATCATGGCGTTTCCAAGACTGGAATTTTTTAAAGTCTGCCACAACTTTCTCCCATGGAGTGGCTGAGGGGTTCGAACTGTTGACCTTTTAGTTAGTAGATGAATGCTTTAAGTACTGTGATACCAGGGTTCCTAACAATTATCAGAAGGCCCTCAAAACCCCTCACAGATGACTGATCCTCCTTAAGCTAAATGTGGCTACACACTGGCCTCAGGCTCAGACAGATTGTTGTTGTTTGTTGTGAAGTGCCATTGAGTTGATTCCGACCCATAGCAACCCTGTATAGGATTTCCAAGGATCAGCTGGTGAGCTTGAACCACCGACCTTGCAGTTCAAACAGCTTTGCAATCTGGCACATTAACCCACAGCGTCACACCAGGACTCCATTCAGACAGATTAGTGGCAGCTAAATACTAGCGTTTACTCTAGCTCTGAATCAGATGATGCCAAAGAGATGGAGAATGGATTCAATTCAATAAAACTGAACCAATCATGGGAATCTAGACAATCTAGAAAAGGCCTAGAATGGTATTGAGGTGGTGGAGTGGCTTCTCAAAATGAACTGGCTGTTCCAGAATTCCTCTACCAAGCCTACTGCTGAACTAATTTCTAGGGATGACAGAGGCTCATTTGCTCTCACATGGTTACGACTGGTTTCTAGACTGGGTCCTTACATCTTTGCTGCCTTCAGGATCTGACTCGCTGCTAACGTCTTCTGTGTTGAGGTTTTCAAAATCAGACTCGCCAACCGCAATGGGTACCCGCACAGTCAGGTTGGGGTTGTTGATGAAGGACATGTGGTCCTCATCAATGATGTACTTCTCAACGCTGCTGCCAATGCCACTGGTTGTGCCATTGCCATTCTTCTGGAAGTCGCCATTCCGGTGGATGTCTGCACCTGTATGGTTGGCAATGCAGTTGGCCTTCTTTTCATACAGCTCATCCAGAGGTTTCACTTCATCAGCCTCACGCTGCTTGAAGTGGGTCTGCATGAAGGCATGCACTTTTATTTTGGTCCAAGCCACACCCTTCTTGATCCGGATAACCGAGATCTGCAGATTGTTCATTTCTCCATCATCGTCTGTAGCTGCCAGGTTGTCTGCACTGAAGGAGCTTAGAAGCAAGGCCAGAAACAGGTTCAGCACCTGTACCAGCAGGATAAGGAAAAAGGAGAGTGAATGTCAAACTGTATTAAGAACAAAGTTATCCATTAAATTAAGGACAACAAACTGACAGTACATGGACTTTGCGTGACTGACTTGAGTGTCTGATGTGTTTAGTTTGGCCCACCTAGTGTTTTAAATGCCCATATCACTAGGGGGAGGGGAGGACACAGTATGTCTAGTTTGGCTGTAATGAGATTTGGCTTCAAAAAGTTCATTGAAAAGTTTTTTAAAAGTTCATCTTTTAATCCTATCTCCCATGAACTTTTTAAGTCCCCTTGTATAAGAAGTTCAGAACCTCTTTTCATGATTCTTCTACAGTTTTACATACATATATATCCTTTAAGAAGCTTTGATAATGTAGTGATTACTAGTTGGGCTGCTAACCTCAAGGTTAGTAGTTTGAAACCACCAGCCGTTCCTAGGAAGAAAGACGAGGCTTTCTGCTCCTGTAATGATTTACAGCCTCAGAAACCCTATGCAGGGTCACTATGAGTCAGAACCGACTCCACGGCACACAACCACCACCACCACCATATATCCTTTACATACATGTATCTTTTATAGTCAGAAAAAGCAAACGCTTTTTTGTGCGTCAGTTTGTCATATATGTCACTTTGTCATATGGTGGTGGTTTGTGTGTTGTTGTGATACTGGAAGCTATGCAACAGTGTTTCAAATACCAGTAAGGTCACCCGTGATAGGCAGATTTTAGCAGAGCTTCAAGACTACAATCAGACAAAGAAACAGAAACAAAGGCTCCACTGCTGAGGGATTAGCCCCTGAAAACCTTAAGAACAGTAGTAAAACATTGTCTGATATAGTGCTGGAAGATGAGTCCCTCAGGTTGAAAGGCACTCAAGATACAACTAAGCATGATCTGCCTCCTTAAAGTAGAGTTGACATTAATGATGTGGATGGAGTGAAGCTTTTGGGACCTTCATTTGCTGATGAGGCATGACTCATAATGAAAAGAAACAGCTGCAAGTAACCATTCATAATTGGAATATGGAAAGTATGAATCTGGGAAAATTGGAAGTTATCAAAAATGAAATGGAATGCCTAGAGATAGCTATTCTAGGTATTAGTGAGCTGAAACAGACTGGCATTGGTCATTTTCAATCAGTCAATCACATGGTTTACTATGCTGAGAACGACAAACTGAAGCGTCACCATTCATCATTAAAAAGATTTCAAGTTCCATCTTGAAATACAATGATGTCTGCGATAGACTATGCCTACAAGGGAGGACAATTAATGAAACTATTATTCACATTTACAGATCAACCACCAAACCCATGATGATGAAGTTGAAGAATTCTGCCAACTTCTTCAGTATGAAACTGATCCAGCGTGCAATTAAGATGCAGTGATAATTACTGATGTTTGAAATGTGAAAGTTGGAAACAAAGAGGAAGGATCAGTAGTTTGAAAGTACATCATGATGATAGAAATGATGCTGGAGATTTCATTACAGAATTTTGCAAGACCAGTGACTGGCTCATTGCAAACAACTTTTTTAAAACAACATAAAAGACTATGTGCGTGGACCTCACCAGATGGAATACACAGGAATCAAACTGACTACATCTCATAGAGAAGCTCAATATCATCAGCCAAAAGAAGGCCAGGGGCTAACTGTGAAACAGGCCATTAACTGCTCACATGAAAGTTCAGGTTGAAGCAGAAGAAAGTTAAATCCATGAATGCCAAAATATGACCTTGAGTATATCCCACCTGAATTTAGAGACCATTTCAAGAACATATTTGATGCATGAGACACTAACGACCAAAGATCAGAGGAGCTGTGGGATGACATTAAGAGTATCATACATGAAGAAAGCAAAAGGTCTTTAAAAAGACAGGAAAGAAAGAAAAAAAACCAAAGTGGATGTCTGAAGAGACTCTGAAACTTGCTCTTGAAAAGAGCTAAAGTGAATGAAAAAATTAAATGAAAGAACTGATGGCAGCTTGAAAAGATAAAGTACTATAATGAAATGTGCAAAGACCTGCGGTTAGAAGACCAAAAAGGAAGAGCATGCTTAGCATTTATCAAGCTGAAAGAAGGAAAGAAAAAATTCAAGCCCTCAAGTTGAAATATTGAAGGATTCGATGGGCAAAATATTAACAATACAGGAAGCATCCAAAGAAGATGAGAGGAATACACAGTCACCATAACAAATAAAACTGACTGATGTTAACTGTTTCATATGATCAAGATGTTAACTGTTTCAGATGATCAAGAACCAATGTTACTGAAAGAAGAATTCAAGCTGCACTGAAGGCATTAGCAAAAATCAAGGCTCCAGGAATTGATGGAATACAAATGGAAATGTTTCAACAAACTGATGCTTCTCTGGAGGTACTCACTAATGTATATGAAGCTATTTGGAAGACAGCTACCTGGCCAAAAGACTGTAGGAGATCCATATTCATACGATTCCAAAGAAAGGTGACTCAACAGAATGAAGAAATTATCCAACAGTATTATTAATATCACACAGAAGTAAAATTTTGCTGAAGGTAATTGAAGGATGGTTGTAGGAGCTGCCAGAAATTCAAGCTGGATTCAGAAGAGGACATGGAATGAAGATCACTGATGGTGTCAGATGGAGCTTGACAGAAATCAGAGAATCACAGAAAGTTATTTACTTGTAGTTTATTGACTATGTAAAAGTTTTAGACTGTGTGGATCTTAAAAAATTATGGATAACACTGTAGAGAATGGAATTCCAGAACACTTAACTGTTCATGCAGAACCTGTTCATGGACCAAGAGGCACTCATTTGAACAGAACAAGGGATATTGTCTGGTTTAAAATCAGGAAAGGTTATTTCCTTTCACCATACTCATTCAATCTGTATGCTGAGCAAATAATCTGAGAAGGTAGACTACATGAATAATGCAGCATCAGGATTGGAGGAATGCTCACTAACAACCTGCAATATACAGATGACACAACCTTGCTTGCTGAAAGTGAAGAGGACTTGAAGTGCTTGCTGAAGATTAAAGACTTCAGCCTTCAGTATGGATTACAACTCAGTGTTAAACAAAAATCCTCACAACTGTAAAAATCCTAAACAGCATTATGATAAATGGAGAAATGATAGAATTTGTAAAGGACTTCATTTTATTTTGATCCATAATCACTGCTCTTGGAAGCAGCAGTCAAGAAATCAAATGATGTATTGCATCTGGCAAATCTGCTGCAGAAGACCTCTTTAAAGTGTTAAAGAGCAAAGACATCACTTTGTGGACAAAGGTGCATCTGACCCAAGCTAGGGTATTTTCAATCGCCTCATATGCATGTGAAGGTTGGACAAGGAATAAAAAAAACATGGATTCATTTGAATTATGGGGCAGGTGAGGAATACTGAAAATATCACGAACTGCCAGAAGAACAAACAAACGTATCTTGGAAGTACAGCCAGAATGCTCCGTAGGAACGAGGATGGGGAGACTTCATTGTATGTACTTACCAGGAGGGACCAGTCTCTGGAAAACTACATTATGCTTGGTAAAGTTGTGGGTCAATGAAAAAAAGGAAGACCCAATGAGATGGACTGACACAGTGAATTTAACAATGGGCTCAAACATACCAACAATTGTGAGACTAGTATAGGACCAGGCCATGCTTCGTTCTGTTATGCACAGGGTTGCTACGAGTTGCTGCTAACGTGACGGCACCCAACAACAACAAATCTATTTTGGAAAAAAATTCAACAACAACAACATATCCATTTTGGAAAAATATTCTCCAACCCCCCCAAAGTATGGATCTGGATTATTGAGGAGGATCAAAAAGTACCTCGATGTCCTGTTTCATGAGCAGATGTCTTACAGGACCATGTTAGAAAAAATTTAGGCTCAGAGAGCCATATTGCCACACAATAAATCATGGGGAAACTAAATTGTACTTTGTTGCTACGTGCTGTCGAGTCAACTCTGACACATAGTGACCCTATATAAGGTTTCCAAGGAGAAGCTGGTGGGTTTGAACCACCAACCTTGTGGTTAGCAGTTGAGTGCTGATCCTGCAGTACCACACCAGGAGTCTAGATTGTACTTTATACCACCTTATTTTAAGACTATTTTTTCTTTGAGTTGGCAAATGCTGTACAATATGGCTTCAAAAAGTTTATGGAAAAAGATAATGGAATTTTCCCACGAATTTTCTGAAGCCCCTCGGTATTTTTACCACTAAGAAAAAAAAATCTTTCCCACACATTAATAAAAATAAAGCTTCAGCAAGATAGTGACTTTTATGTTATCTACTCAAGTATCTTCATACATAAGCTTTACTTATTTAAGTTCCTGTTTTACTATAATGGACACTAAGGTTAATTTTCATTAAGACTTACTTTCGAAAAGTGGGAGAGGTGCTTATTTCTTGATTTACACTTGGCCTTCACTGTCACACTTCTGAAGAAGGCAGCACATATTTTAGGTGGAAAGATTGGTATGTATAAGGATGGAAGTAATAAATGAAATATATACATTTGATGGAGTCCTGGTGTGGCTCCAAGCACTGGACTGTTAACTTCAAGGTCAGTGATTCAAACCTGCCCACTGCTCCTTGGAAACCCTATACAGGATCACTATGAGTTGGAGCCGACTTTTCGGCACTTAACAACCACAACCAGCATTCATTTGGATTGCCTGGGCCATTTGCAGAAGTAAAAAGGAATATGGCTGGTAAACCGGAGATGAGTTGGCAAGGCTTTGGAGAATAGGCTGAGGAATCTAAATTTTATTTAACTGGATTCACTACTGAACTGAGCAAAGGAGCTGAGTCATTTCTGAGAACTAACTACATATAGCAGGGGAGACTAGATGTTAGGCGGCTACATGCATGAATTAATAAGGATCTGGATTAGGGTACAGTAATTGCACTGTGAGTTAATGCTCCAGACTGCAAAGCCATTTGAACTGCAAGGTCGGTGGTTCAAGCTCACCAGCTGCTCCTCGAAAAACCTATACAGGGTCGCTATGGGTCAGAACCAACTCGACAGCAAACAACAACAACCACAACAATCGCAAACTCCTCATAGAAGGAGTGCTTGTTAGAAATGCTTATTATCTTTGTCATCATCTGGAGATTCTCATTCAGTGGCTCTGGTGCAAGGCTTTGACTTGGCCTTTTTAAAAGAGCGAGGCTCAGAAAATTGTGATGCAGGTGGTTTCTAAACGACTCTTTTAGGAAAACTGGATGTGTTACAGAAATGGAAAGGAAAGGGCAAATCTTATGGATACTATGAAGAACGACACATTAAAAAAAGATGTATTTAAGACACATCAAGTGTTTGCCAAGAGTAGAGATGAAAGACTCCAAAGTCACAGGTACCTAGAGACTAGTTGAGCAGAGGGACTGAGCCAAAGTAAAACTGGGAATGTTCCATCAGGGGGCAAAAATCATAAAGTTGATTTTCGTCATGTACTTCAGGGATCTATAGATAAGTCATGGGAAGATGCCCTTGAGACCATGGAACATAGAGCCTGGAGAAAAGATGACAAGGTCAGGGTTGAGCCCATTGTGAACCATAGAGGAACAGATGCCCTCACTGAGGAAGAGAAAGGACTAGAGGAATTAAGACTGAGGTAAGGTGGTTGGGAGTGGAGGAGGGTAGGATTGAAGAACCGTTACAGGTGAAATGAATGAACAGGGTGGCCTTGGCTGGATCAGAGGCTGGTGAGTAGGAACCCTCTATTGATCAGAGATTCTCTAGGGCAGAAAAGGGCAGAGAATTGCTGTGAGCCAGCTTGAGAGGAATCAGCTGAGCTTGCCTTTTTTTCAGCTTTCCTGGCTTCACCCCTCAAGCAGGACTGGGAGGCCTGATTTGTAAGACCAGTGTGTCTCAAACTCTAGTGTACATGTGACTTTTCTGGGGATTTTGTTACAAATGCAGATTCTGTTTCCGAAGAACTGGGCTGGGGCCTGAGACTCTGCATTTTTAACGCACTCCCAAGTGATCTCAATGCTGCTGGTTCTTACATTACACTTTGAGACACAGGATGTTAAGATTTCTGTTGGCAATTATTCTTTACACAGAGGCAGAAGACAGCAGGCTGACAGATGACAGCGGTGTAAGAAAGCGCTTTATCATTTATGCATACTCAGTCAGACCCTGTTGTTGTTGTTAAGCACCGTCAAGTCGGTTCTGACCCACAGTGACCCTATACAGGGTTTCCAAGGAGCGGCTGGTGAACTTGAATCACCTACCTTGCATCCAGTGCATTAGCCCACAGCACCACACCAGGAATCATACCCTAAGATATTTTCTATCGGTGGTTCTCAATTGGCAGGAGGGATGGGTAGGGGACAGACTGGGGTGGGGTGCCACTGACATTTAATAGGTAGAGATCAGGGATGCTACTTAAGATCCTACAAGGCATAGGGCAGCGCCCCACAACAAAGAATGATCTTATTGTCCAAAATGTCAATAAGACCAAGGTTGAGAAATCATGTTCTGATGAGGGAAACGTTTTATAGTAAAAAGAATAGGAAGTTTGGAGTCAGGCAGATCTAGGTTCAAATGCTGTTAAGTGCCGTCGAGTTGATTCTGACTCATACTGACCCTGTACAGGGTTTCTCTGATATTTACCAGATGTGTGACCTTTGGAAAGTCACTAATTTTCTATTTTATTTCCTTAACTATGAAAAAGGCTGACAAGTTGGGGGTTATGCATATTACAGTATACTTTATAAATACCAATCTCTTCTCTTTCACTCATACCTTAGGGATTTTGGGCCAAGAAAGAATGAAAACCCAACACAACCACGTACAGTAGTAGAAGGACTAAGCTGACTGGACGAAGGGTAGGATGTTTAGGGCTAAAAAAACCTCCCCCAAACCCCAAAAGATTTACAAATGAATACTAACCACTAAGTTGCCAATAACCATGACCATCATAAAGACAATGAGGCACATGGCCTGGCCTGCCACCTCCATGCAGTCCCACATGGTCTCGATCCACTCTCCACACAATACCCGAAAGACAATGAGGAAGGAGTGGAAAAAGTCATGCATGTGCCAGCGAGGGAGTTCACAGCCTTGGTTGATCTTGCAGACACACTCTTTGTAGTTCTTTCCAAACAGCTGCATCCCCACCACGGCAAAGATGAAGACAATAATGGCCAGCACTAAGGTCAGGTTGCCCAGAGCACCCACTGAGTTGCCAATAATCTTGATCAGCATGTTCAAGGTTGGCCAGGATTTGGCCAGTTTGAAGACTCGGAGCTAAGGCAGAAAAGAACCCAAACAAAGACCAAATGACATTCAGCCCATTTTTCCTCACCAAATACTTAAAATAAAAACACATAAAATTAATAAGTTCAGTTTGAATTATTGCGCACCTTTGGGAAATTCCCAGGACTTTGTAATAGCAATTTTAACTAAATGGGGGAGAAACTAGCACAGATATGGAAAAACTGATTACATAGTATATGAAAAATTGAGAACTAGGAACCAAGGATTAGTCTCTGAGCCGATCTGTATTTTAGAAACCCATACTCGTATATCTCTTTCCTACTGATTTTTCTCTTGAGTTCTCAATGGACATGTCAAGAAAAATGTGATCATCGGAACCTCAAAGATAAGTATGGTAAGGGCAGTGAAAAACAACTGTCTCCTTAAAGAACCAAATATTTAAAAGTTTCAAATAATCTCCTTTTTTTTTGCTAGCTAATAAATAATGGCCAATTTGAAATTCTGTGATGCACTTGGAATAACTTGGAAGAAAGGCATAAGTCCAAAATCAGGGCACTTACATATATACATATATATATATCAAATATTTTATGGAAAGGGATTATACTGATTGTAATTCAATGGACTGATCTTTTGGTACCTGTCAATCATGAAATATCTATATTCTGTAATGAATGAGTGTAAGGTTCAGGCTAACACAGTGAGAATTATGTTTAAATCCATTAGATGTCATAAATTACCAAATAACTAACACATACTATCAACAGGAACTCTGGTAGAAGGCAGAAACATTGATTTGAACACGTTTTCCCTATTGAACACTTGAATCTTATCAGAGGTTCACAGTCTACCAGGGGCACCTTGTGTAAATCTGGGCCATTCATATTTTTTTCCTTTTTATTATAACTACTGGAGCTAAGGTTTCTTTCAATCTTTCTAGATAATAAGAAATACTCGAAAAAAGTCTGTGAGTTGGATCCTGACCAAAGATTAATAAGTAGAGATTCCAGAAACCTGGCAGATGTTATTTGAGGCTTGAAATGAGTGAGATCTGTTTTACAGTTTAATTCTTTTTTAGATCTGCTGAATATTCTTTAAAAAAAACAACAACAACCACCAAAAAACCCTTAAATCCTTTCGATTCCAAGTACTCAGTTATTTTCCCAATAGAGAGAAGAAAACCTAAGCTAGGTCTGGTGTCAGAGAAGTAGTAAAAGTTTTGTTTTAAAGGGAGGGTCTCCAAAGTAACTCAGCTTTTTAAGGGGCTTAATCACTTAAGCCTATCTTTATAGGTAGCTATTCTGGAACATTGTGAACTGTTCTTTCAGAAAAAATTTTAAAATAATTTCAACATTAACATCTTGAAATAAATTAGTAAAAAATCCTTCTTAGGAGTCTTATATCTAACGATAAGTACAACAAAGCCAATACTTAACACTAATTTCAGTATAATTTAATAAAAAAACAACATGTATTCACTTTTTCTGGAAGGGACCACTATGGGAGAAGGAATGATAAAGGTTACCTTTGAACAAAGTAGAATTTTTGTCACTTAAAGATTTAAGTTCTTGTTAGATAATGATTTAAGTTGAACCAACAAACCCGAAATAGACCTTAGAACAGGTCTTGGGAGTCTGTCATCATCTTTTAGATTAAACCATTATTGTCTGAGACACTATTTAAAAATTAACTTCTGTTTGGTGACTGGTTTAAAAAAACTAACTTCTTAAAAAAAACAAAACAGAACAAAGCTAACTTCAAGATTAGGTATTTAGTAGGAAAGTTTTAAAGATTCTAGTAGCTGACCCAAATAAACAGTCAGCTGGAATTAGGAGTAGAATATGGCTAAGGATCTATTTTATTTTAATCATCAAGTTAATTTATGCAAAACGCTTCCTAGTAGCTGCAAGACAGGAAAGGTAAAAAGAAATTGGAGAAATATGGAATACCAATCGGAAAGATCGCAGCACCGAAAGCCCCTCCACGTCTGCTAGACCCAGTTCCATTAAACTGAGGGAGACAATAAATCCGTCAAAAATGTTCCAACCTTCTTGGAAATAATAGTAGGGATCCATGGCTATGAGCTTCAAGAACATTTCCGCTGTGAAAATTCCAGTGAAAACCTAAAGGGGAGGCAGAGGATAAGAAAAAGAAATAATAGAAAGAGAATGCATTTATTATTACCTTCGAATATAACATGTCCAAGGAGACATGAGACTTGGTTAATTCTTCCTCTGAGAGCATCACTACCCAGGTGTCCATGACCATCCCACATGATGAAGGAAAACCTTATTTTCTACTTGAATGTTAACTTTGTTACTAAACCTACTCAATTCACATTGATCAGTAGAGAAATTAAAGAAATGTTCTCAGCAATGGCAATACCACCCAAGGTGATGCCTCTCAAAGGGTTGGCATTCATTTGAATATGCTTGTTTGAGATGTTAGCTTAAAAAAAAAACAAAAAAATCCCTTGTTATCATTGCATTTGAAGATTACAAGATTACAGCAGTATTCCTGATTTGAACATTATGTGCCTTATCAAACCTAGATACATATTGCAAGCTTTCTTGTTTTAAAACATAATCACCAAAAGTATAAGAAATACACCCTACTTAGGCAAAAATCCATAATCTTTCTAGACTTTTCAAAATGAATTTGTATTTCGAAACACTGAAAAACTATAAAATTATTACAAAATATCATGACCTATCCATATTGTTAGACTTTAGAGTTCCCAATTTTAGTTCTTGTATAAAATTCTATTGGGTGACTATATCCTTGAAGAATTTTCTTATTCTTGAAGACTTTGGTGCTTCCTTTGGATTTTTTTGTGTGACAATCAGTGATATAATAGATGTTTTATGATTTGAAGCTTGTTGAGTGCAAGAATGACATCTTCCTTTCATTACCCATCTTCCCATCTTCTGCCTGACTGAGCACCTGTATTTCCCAACATCTTTTGTAGCCCACAAACCTTAGTAGCAATGAGTAGTAGTTATGTGCCGTGGAGTCAGTTCCAACTCACAGAGATCCTGTATAGGGTTTCTGAGGCTATAAATCTTTATGGGAGCAGAAAGCCTCATTTTTAACTCGAGGAACCGCAGGTAGTTTTGAACTGCTGAGCTTGAGGTTAGCATCCCAACTCACAAGTAAAATCCCATGAATCCCAATGCTGACAGCAAGACCAATACACTCTTCCTCGGCTAACCATGTAACATAACATTCTTACTGAATATTTGCATGTTTTTAGAGGCGACGACTTTATGTGCCATGATTTTTTGGCTGTTTTAATAAACTATTACTTGTAAACAACTAGTTACCAAATTTAAATACAAAGGACTTTAAGGAAAACTTTGAAAATAACCTGAGGACAGAACAAAAAACAGTAAGTATACAGATGCTGTCTGAAAAGATACCAAATTAATATACAGCAATAACATAATGGAATGACTTGTTTAAAATACTCCAAAATGGATATAGTAGGCTATAAGAATATTCACATACTTTTTTTGTGGTTTACTAGTTTTCTAAATTGAAGATGCAATGTTCTAAAATTAAAAACAAAATTCTCTAAAGTGATTCAGTTAAGTGAAATAAAAGTTTATAGTACAAGGACCAAACAAGATGGCGGATCGGGTGGAC